TAAAAATATCAGATCGATTGCCAATATAGTTTTTTTGAAAAGTGATATTAAAAGTCATGCTCTTTTGCACAGGCTCTTGCGCGAGTTGGGAAAAAAATTTAATCAAATGTGAATATTGCCCTTAAAAATGGTTAGGCTGGGGAAAATAAAATTGCAATTAAAAAATTAAATATTACTAAACATTTTAAAACAATATATATAACGTTTTGACAAATTCGAACAAACATCTGATCTAATGAAAGGAAATATGGCAACACTATACGCTGTATTTAACTCTTCGACTGATGCGCTATATTTGAATAGCTCGATTATAGACTATAAAATTATTCGTCGAAAACACATGTAGTAATAATTAATATTAAATATATTTTTCGTGATCTAATGCAATATAATAGCAATTTGAAACAAAAATTGAATGGATTTCTTTGCAAATCGAACAGTATAGATGTCCTGTTCAATTTGACAAGGAGACGTCTCACTATCATACACTGAGCTTCTTGATAGTTGTCATGTGAATTCTCGGTTGCACGTTTTACTTTTTTCTTATCAGTCCTACATTCTGTTTCATACGCATTTTATATTGCTTTTCAGTTATTACTTTTACGCGCAAAGCACAGTTGACAGTAATGACAGTAGATCCAACTTTTACCACCAAGCCATGGCAATGTTGCCAGATTTCATCCATAATTTTACAAGCTCTTAATGAATAAATGGACACTTTTATCCGAATAAAAAGTTAATTGCCGTGCTTTAAACACGAAAAATATATGCAAGCTAATATGTGTTGTATAAATTTAATTCGTATATATTATATTTAGTTCGCTCAAATTAGTTTATGTAAGGTTGGTACTACAAAGAAGCTACCGTGTACAAGCAAAGGCTTTCCTCCCGCACCGCCTGCCCTGCAAGAGATGTATCATCGAATCTCCTTAATTGAATACAGGGTACTAGAAATTTAATGCCGAGTTTAGTTAACTTCAAACCTTCATAAGTCGGTTTTTTTAAATGGGTGTTTCATTTAAAACAACCCAAGTTTTTCTAAAAATTCCACAGCTATCCTCGCGAGAAATTAGATGATTTTAGGTGGTTACACAAAAAATAGTAGATAATTTAAAAACTAGAAGAGATAGGTATAGGGAATCCTGATAGCGTTCGAAAGAGAATAACATTGTGTATCAGAATATAGAAAAACATACAGGGTGTTCCATTTATAAAAACCGACTTATGAAGGTTTGAAGTTAACTAAACTCGGCATTAAACTTCTAGCACCCTGTATGCAACTAAGCCACTTTGAAAGTACGGATGGGAAGCTTAGGGGTCTAGCTATCCCCCCTATAAATATTGTTGTTTTATCTTCCTTACTACACATGGTTTGAAGCTAGTCACTGCTTCTCTCCATTTTTTTGAAAAAAATTAAATATCTGGAAAAAGGTTAATTTTAGGAATAGGGAAACTTCATAAAAGTCCACCTAAAATAACACGTAGAATCCAAAATTCCAATAATATATAGGGTGTTCCATTTAAAATAAGCAAGTTGATGGCAACATCCGGTATAACCGGAAGTGGTACATGGACGCCATTATTTTAGTTGAGAAGAGCATCCCCGAAAACCCGGGATCCCAAATTTTCAAAATTCAAATCGAAGTAGTCTCTGAAATAATGTTAATGGGCCGTCACAGTGAGACACCCTGTATTACAACACCTGGTTACAGAAGTGCATGAAAACTTGTTGCTAAAGTGCCCTAATTTTTGTCTGTACCTCAGTTGTGCATCAATTGATGGGTCTTCAAAAACTTATTTGCACTAGTGAAGGCTTTCTGTACTTCAACACGTGATATTTTATACCACTCCTGTATTTGGATTCACAATCGCAGTCATTACACTAGTACCTTTAGAACTTGTGCAGCATATTCGTTTCAGTTGATGCCGCTGCAGATGATGCTTGTATNAGTTATGCAGCATATTCGTTTCAGGTGATGCCGCTGCAGATGATGCTTGTATTTACTTTTCCCCGTGTTGTTACACTTGTATGTCTGGACCTAGGAAGGATTTTTATGCTTCAGTTGGTGCTCTATGATACATTTCCTGTATCTAGTTGTGTAATCGCAGTCGCCACACCTGTACATTTGAATCCGGAAAGGGTCTTTATGTTTCAGTTGATGCTGTTTGAAATGACCGCTGTATTTAGTTTCGAAATCGCAGTCGTTACACCTGTATGTTTGAACCTGTGAAGGGTATTTATGTTTCAGTTGATGCCGATTGAAATTACGGTTGTATTTAGTTTTGAAATCGCAGTGGTGACACCTGTATATTTGAACCTGTGAAGGATCTTTATGTTTCAATTGATGCTGTGTCAAATATCTCTTGTATACAGTTTTGTAATTACAGTCAATACACATGTACGTTAGAACCTGTGAAGGGTCTTTATGTTTCAGTTGATGCTGTTTGAAATGACCGTTGTATTTAGTTTTGTAATCGCACTCGTTACACTTGTACATTTGAACCTGCGAAGGATCTTTATGTTTCAGTTGATGCCGTTGGAAAGCATTCTTGTACTTAGTTTTGTATTCGCAGTCGTTACACCTGTACATCTGAACCTTTAAAGGATGTTTATGTGTTAGTTGATGGCGTTTGAAATGACTGGTGTATCTAGTATTGAAATCGCAATCGTTACACCTGTACATTTGAATCTGCAAAGAATCTTTATGCTTCAACAGGTGCTTCTGAAGTAATTTTTTATTTGCAGTTTCGTACTCACACGATTCGCATTCATGTGCTTCCAAATCCTTCTCATATCCCGTAAAACGGATCTCACTTTCAGTTTCGTAGATACATTTATCACATTTGTACAATACTTTGCAATCCTGCCTGGTTTTCACTTCCGATCCATTCTCATGTTTACATCCATGCTCTTCTTTATTTTTACAGTCACTCTCCTCGAATGGTACAATATCGTAGGTCTGAAGTGGCGTGTCGCTGAAAAAATTGTATATACAGGGTTTTTTTCAAAATCAGGTATTAATTTTAAGGGGTTATGACAATAATTGAATCAACTATGGTACTGATAGCAAAATTTTAACTTTAATCATGAATCAATTCAGATCTTTGATAATGTATTTAATTATCAGAAAAGGCATAGGCAAGATGCTACGTATAAAGTCACACAATAAATCCATAAACAAAGTCAGATACAGATAATTGAAATACAATCTACAATAGCATTATTTATAAATTTATTAATTTTAATCATATAATAACACCCAGTATATCACCTTTTTTTTGTTTGTCTTTATTTAGTTTTGGTTTTTTGCCTTATCACAAATTTTAGTACACTACTCATAAAAATTAAAGGACAAAAAGAAAATCCTAATTTTTTAGGTGATTTTCGAAAGGCTGCAACATGGCGAAAAATGTTCATAAAACAATAAAAAAAGCAAATTGGAGCTCGAAGGTTCTAGTTTCAGGATCTGAAAGTCAAAAATTTTTATCCTATATCACATTTTAGAAATCAAAAGAAATCCCGGGAGATTTTTTTTTTATAATTTTTGCTTCACTTTCAACAGGTCCAGGGGCCTCAAAATTTTTTTTTTGGCAGTCCCATATGTCGTCTCTTTTAGTTTAATTCATCCTCTTTGATTTGAGCTGTTCAAGACCTTTATATCATTAAATCAAAAATAATTGTTTTGGCTTTGATAAATTAATTATTTGGAAAGTAGTGGTCCTACAGAAAATCTAAGCAGATATTTGAAAAGTTCAGACTATCCTCCATACGACCTTATCGTTTTTGGATATATTAATTTCTTTCAATGCAAGAAACTTGATTCCAAAATTTGCTTATTTGAGGATTTTTGTTAAAATTGAGATTGATATTGAAGAGGTTTTTGTTTTTTTTTTACCTCAAAATAATCCAAAAAACCTGTACGCTCCGTGTACAATGTATTTCCTTGTCGTGAGGATACGGCCGCATAACAGCTGAATCGTTCGTCGGTTGTCTCACATATGACACACTAATGAGGACTAATAAGTCTGAAACCGGTCTGTGCCTGGTGAGTTAAACTGACGAACGATCCTAGCTGTTGCACTAGGTGTTGCGAGCATAATTCAGTGACGGTCAGGGCATATAGCCCGCGGAGTAGTTGTTTCTGGCAACACTGACAATTAAAACCTCTCAAGACTTCAAACGGCTGCAATTTTTCTTTCATTGTCAAAAATCAATTAAAGGATAAATTTTGCATTTTTAAATCATTTTCTCTTTAATTGAAAATGTTTTTTCGCAAAAATATATATTTTCTTCGTCAAAAATTGTCATGTAAAAAAAAGAAAAATTTGAATTTTTTTTTTTTGGAAAAAAATAATTTTTATTTACTTTCTCAAATTTCGGATACTTACCGAGTTCTATAACTCACAAATTGTTTTCATGAGCTTTAATACTGAGAAAAATAAGATTTTTTTTTTTAATTAACCCCAAGGTCTTTTCTGTATATTAAAAAAAAATAAATATTTTTTGACTATTTGACAAGCATTTTTTAGATATTTTTATAATTTAAATTAGATCAGTACCTTTTCCCAAAATTCTTTCAAAAGTAATTTTGGGTAAGAATGACTAATTTTCTTCTTGCAATTTGTTTACATAACTGCTAATTATTTTGTAACTCGGTAAAAGATCTGCCCTTTTCATTCAAGAAAATTTCAATTTCTGCACAAAGTTTATTGAATAAATGGAATTTAGTATAGCATTCTTTGTACCCATATCTGACTCGAAGCCATACTGATTGTTTTATAATGATCTTACATATTTTCCCAATAATTTGTTAACCTAAGGCTTAATGTTTATATAAAAATTTGTACGATATCGTTCATAACCGACATAATCCCATAATGTTAAAGTACAATTAGTTTATTACAGGATAGTATGTACCGAGGGGCGATCCGCTGATGTAATCTTCGTACGTTTGCTCTGGAATCTTTATGTAATCTACGTAATCTTATCTGTAATCTATGTAATCTATCTGTAATCTACGTAATCTTATCTGTAATCTTCGCTGTAATCTATGTAATCAGCTAATGAATTTCGTCGATGTAGTCGTTGTACAACGCCGCCCCCCCCCCTACCTCATTTTCCAAAGAATGCCACAGAAACCTCGACAGAAACCTATATGGTGCGATTGGTGTGTTCCGAAGGGCAATCCGCCAAGGAAAAAACAGACGAAGATTACAAAATTTCTGAAATCTCTTGTAATGTATCTGCAGATTTCAATATCAATTCAAAAAATATTACAAATTTCATATAAATAATCAAGATTACAACACATTTCAGGAGATTTCAGAGTTATTTTAGTAGATTTCAATGATTACTTAAGATTTCAATAGGATTATTAGAAATTAAAAGAATATTTCAAAATTTCTTAATAAGGTTTCAAGGAATACGGGAAGATTACAATAAGTTTTGAATGTCCATTTGAACAAAAATAATTGAATTAACTTCAAATGTCATTAATTTCATTCATTAACAGTAGTACTTTGATTAAGAATTTCCAGTATCAGGCATTTTTTGGGCAAAAATTGTAACATTCTGATTAAGTTTTTTGTTCGAATGAACGTTAAAAACATTTTGTCATGACAAAAATGATAATGCTATTTTGAAAGTAGGTAAGTATTTTCCCAAAAACTAATAAATAAAAAATATATTAAGCTTTTATTAATACTTGCATTTAATACTTTACTTGTATACAGTGTGTTTAAAAAAGACGCGGCAATATTTAAGGGAGTGATTGCTCAGGTCAGTTTATAAAAAAAGTCCTATAAACATAGGTCCGCAAACGCTTCGTTACCGATCTACAGAATGTGAAATTTCATTAAAAAACAGTAAAAATTAAATTTCTCTAAAACGCAGCCCCTTATTATTACCTACTACAAACAACAGTATGTACCACATTTCAAAAATCAATCAAATTTGATAATTTGAATTTCTTTGTTCAATAATTTAAATTTCTCAATTAAAACAACATTGGGTTTAGGTGCGCAATAAAATGTTTTTTATTTTTTTACTCAATAACGGTGTGACGTACGGTGCGTATAATCTGAGGAAAGCTTTCTTCTTCATAATTGAACAAGGAATTAAAAAATTATATTTTTAGAAAAACCAGCGGGGTCCTATTTTTTTCATTAAAAATAGCTAGTCACTGGTAAGACTAAAAAATCGTTTTGTATTGCAAAGTACGCGTCTGCCATAGCTATTGACAGGCCTAAAATTTCATTATAATATCAAGAGGTTTTGGAGAAATTTAATTTTTACTGTTTTTTTAATGAAATTTCAACATTCTGTAGATCGGTAACGAAGCGTTTGCGGACGTATGTTTATAGGAACTTTTTTTTATAAAATGATCTGGGCAATCACCCCCTTAAATATTGCCGCGTCTTTTTTAAATACACTGTATACAGGTAAAGTATTAAATACAAGTGTTAATAAAAGCTTAAAATATTTCTTATTATTTATTTTTTGGGAAAATGTTTATTTTATGTTACTTCTTTTTTTTTATTTTTATTAGTTTATTGGATTATTATATTTTTATCTTTCAATAAAAATATATACTTACCTACTTTCAAAATGGCGTTATCATTTTTGTCATGACAAAAAGTTTTTAACGTTCATTCGAACAAAAACTTAATCAGAATGTTACAATTTTTGCGTAAAAATGATACTGGAAATTCTTAATCAAAGCACTACTGTTAATGAATGAAATGAATGACAGTTGAAGTTAATTCAATTATTTTTGTTCAAATGGACATTCAAAACTTATTGTAATCTTCCCGTATTCCTTGAAATATTATTAAGAAATTTTGAAATCTTCTTTTAATTTCGAATAATCCTATTGAAATCTTAAATAATCATTGAAATCTACTAAAATAACTCTGAAATCTCCTGAAATGTTTTGTAATCGGTTGAAAGATATTGTAATCTTGATTATTTATATGAAATTTGTAATTTTTTTTTAATCGATATTGAAATCTGCAGATACATTACAAGAGATTTCAGAAATTTTGTAATCTTTGTAAGTTTTTTCCTTAGCGGATCGCCCCTCGGTATGTACATGTGATCATATAAATCAGTGTCACAACTGCAGGTAGCCATGTTTTAAATTAATGTTACAATAGTCTACTCTTACCTTCTTTCCACATCTTCCGATTTTATGTCGATACTTTCAGTTTTGATTGACATTTCCATCTCTTTAATATCGAATTCTTTGTCCAAGTTTTCAGTCTTAACCAATGAATCGAGTGGAGACGTATCTATCTGACTTTCTGTGGCTGAACTATCAAAAATACTTATAATTTTTTCTTCTACCTCTGAACAATCTTTTAGGAAACTGTTGTGAGTACACAGAGAATCGAAGCATGGCTTACAAACAACGGAATCTTTGATGATATTTATATACTACAAAGTAGTTTCGTTAAATTATAAAATATGCAAGTAATTAACATTGTTCCTACCATTTCAGGTATCAATTTCTCAATAGCTTGGAGTTCATCTTCACTTATGCACCTAAACTCCCTCTCTACGGGCTGCATACACAATCGACATATTTTCCGACTGCAAACTAACTCACTTTTCTTTTCCTGCATGTACACTTCTCTTAATTCGAGCTGTAACATTTTTTCGCTGTCTGCATATTGAATAACTGTGTTATCGGTATTCAAACACGTCGACTTAAATTTTAATGCTGTATTTAACTTTCTTCTGCAAATGTTACATATTACCTCTTTGCTCTCATCATCAAATTTCTGAAAAATATGCAACTTCAGACAGCAATCTAATTATATTTCTCCGACTTACCAATTTCAGCAAAAGAACATGTAGAATATCTCTGAAAATGTCGTTCATCACTTCAAAAGTTCCATCGGTTATATTTTTAAGGCAAAGCCTACACGACGTTTCCTTAACATCAGTCATTGTTCTGCAACAATCTTCTTTTAAATATAAACGGAAAATAGAACGCAGACAAAAATACAAAGCAAAAAGCTATTCGTCACTTCTAACCTTCTTGCTATATGACACCATTGGCAGTTGGCACTATTGCATAGAAAATATAGCACTATATTTTATTTTCTATGCACATTGCACTCAGGGAGACTAGATAAGGAGCACGAACTCAAGCTGGACAATGCGTCTAATAAGTCATCTGAATCACTGGACTCAAAATCGGACATCTGTAATATTTTAAAAAGTTTATTTAAAACGAAGAGTTTTATTATATTCCATTTTTTTTACCACAAGTAAAAATTCTTAAATTTTTAAAGGGAACTTCATGTATAAAATGTGACTATTTTTTATTTACATTAAACTAAAATCGTTAACAAAGTAATTATCAAAAACATAAACCTTACTTATAGGTTAATATTAACAAGATCACGTCATAAATTCCTTGAAAACTAGTTTCTTTTTCTTTCTACGAACACCAAATTCTTCTCATAAAGCTAATATTTTTTATTATCTATTTAGTTTAATTACAGTCCGGAATGACATATTTTCATGATTTATATAATTCAAAGTAGCTTACATTATTTATTTTAAAATTTTTAACACATCACAATAATGACATGATTGATTTATAATTCAAACTGCCGCTTTTTTATCTCCCCTCTCTACGTATGGGTCGTATGGAACACTAGCGCCCTCTTATTTTTGTAAGATTTTTGTTTACATGGAGTTCGGGCTCCTTGTATAGTCTCCACTATTGGCATTGGAAAATCTTGGGTATTGGCGGCGCATCTACTTGGGGTTGTGGTTAGGAATAGAGAAGGGCGAAACATGACGATCCGGCTCTCCATTCTGACACGAGAGACCGAAGTGACCCAGTTCCTTCCAGTTCTTTCTCAGAGTCAATATACACGCCGACAGACGTCCCGTGGCCGGCATGACCCGTACCACCACAGCAAATAAAACACTGAATTTCAATAGATCAAAAATGCCGCCGGAAATCTAGTCTGCTGATTGTTTTTATATGCTGTGATTCTTAGTTCTTACCTATCTTAGGCCAAGGATTTTATATAAGAGGATTGCTTAATAACAAACTTATTTCCGCGAAACTAGGTTATGTTGTGTGACGTCATTATGTTACCTCCAATTTAGTGGGAACTTTAACACTGAAATAAAAATTATCCTATTCCTTAAAAACATATTATGTTTAGCAATATTGACAAATAATTAAACAGACATTAAAAATAGTGATATGTCCCTACAATATTAGAATATTTAGGTGGTTTAATTTGCACAGCGATTAGAGAAATATTGTAGCCGTTTACTAAGAAATATACTATTTTTTAGACATAATAAAGAATAGGGAACGGAGTTAAAAAAGTTACCAAAAATATGATATACAAAGATTGTCGTTTTACTACTTTTGTTTGAATTACAAATACACATACCTACCATTTGAATATCGCTGCTCGTACAACCTATGAACAATAAAGTTATTACGTAAGGATAAATATTCAAAATTGATAGGAAAAATATTAATTACTGGAAAGGATAAAATCGCACTCGGTAAAATAGCATATTCTTTCACGAGCAGGACCTACAGTTAGCATGGCTTATATCTATGGGAGCTCTGCGTGAGGCTAAAATTTGCTTCTTTGTTTAATGCTTGATTTATATATTTTAGGGTAGNATATTAATCACACCAATAATAATATATTTTTGATACGATAAACTTTAACAGATTGCGGTAGGTACTCAATTTATATGAAATAAAAAAAAATTGTGATGTAGTTCCTAAATATTTTGTATATTAAAATAAAACACTGTATAACGTAACATATTTATTTACTGATGGTTGAAAATAATTATTTAATTTTTGTCTTAATGCAGGGCCTTGAATAATCCGTCCTTAATTTCGTTTCGTAAAGACTGAACGGTAAGTTTCCTGTCTACGTTTCAGTTTAACATTTTTCGTTGCAACTGTAGAAGGAGATATACTGCAAAGATATTTTCATTATTAAAGTTATCCATTAAAGTATGTTTTCATTGCCATAATACTCCTTCTCTTAGCACTACTATCAGTACTAGTGTTACCATTCGATGTATTCTGAACACTGAAAATAAAATTACTGTAAATATTATTTCTTAATTTATTAGGTCCGTATCAAACAATTTGGCAGGGTACGTATTTAACATCCTTAGCATTACTACTATTTTTAAATTACAAATCTTTATTACCTTAAATTCAGTTGTCTCTTCTTTTTACGTTGTACCTACTCGAACTTCAGTAACGTTATAGGTCAAAGATGATTCACTTGATTGTAACATCAATTTGGTCAAAGCTCCTGTATTAATTGAACTCGATAAAGAACTCTTGCTTAAAATGGACGATCCGGCTCTCCATACTGGCACGAGAGACCGTAGTGACCCAGTTCCTTCGTTCCTTTCAGTTCTTTTTTAGTCATTCCACACGACGAAAGTCGTCCCATCTGTTATCTCTTATGGACACAATTGTACCCCTATTGATAGAAAGAGAAAGAACATCTCTAGTACACAGTTGGAGAACTCCTCACAGAGGACGCTCTCATCTAAAATTTAGTGATGGGCAGAATCGAGTATTTTTAAGAATCAAATGATTATCCGAGACCGAATCCGAAATCCGAGTACCGGACAGAAGACTAGGACTAGACCCACCAGGACCGAATGAGTATCCGAGAACACAGGACTCGAGAACAGCGGCAATGCAGAATCGGTGTATGTTGTCGACACGGTGTGGATTCCAATGCATTAGCAGGATATTCTTATTTCGCATAACTCAACGGAGCATTTTCCGTTATTAAATATTAATGTTTTTAGTTATTTTATAATTATTGAATTCTTATTTTTAAAATAAAGCCTGGCTGCAAATCATTAGGTTGGGATTTTATTTTAAAAAAAGTAATAAATAAATAAAAAGTTTAAATTATTTGGCAATGCAATAAATCTTAAAAAAACATTCAATTTTTGACCTCTAAAGCATATCCGCCTAGTGTTTAGTCCATCTATCTGCCTATCCTGAGGGATACTTGAAACCTCATCATGAATTTGCAAATATTCGAATGTTGTTCGTTGTTTTTCATGTTTGAGTTTGACAGACATTATGCCTTGTGTGTGTGTGTCAATTGTGATTTATTAGTGTCGTTGATACTGTTGATAATATACAGTGTGGTTACAAATTGTGGAATATTGCTTATATCTCTTAAAATATTCGTCATATCAAAAACATGTTTTAATAAAAGTGTTAGGGGAAATTATTTCCCGTTTAGTGATATCAATCAATCTTTCGTAGCACAAAAAATGTGGTTGCCAAGGTAACCGACTTAGTCTTTTTAAAAACGAATCACTCAAGTTTGCCAATATGTGGTGTCGAATTTGCCGTAACTCGATTATGATCCTCGCTTTAAGATCTTCCAGATCTACTGATCCTTCTTTGTAGACTATACTTTTAAGTGACCCCACAAAAAATAATCACACGGATTGAAATCGGGTGACCTTGCTGGCCATGTAATAGCACCTCCGCGAACTATCCACCTTGCAGGAAACATTTCATTTAGATATTCTCTTATGGCCCTTCCATAATGTGGAGGGGCTCCATCTTGCTGAAACCACATTTGATGAATTGGACCTAGGGCCTCCAAAGCAGGTACAATTTGTTCTCTCAACAAATTAAGATATTTGCATCTATAAAAAACATATTAGATAGGTCTTGCCTTTTTCAACCACTCTCTCATATCGGGTAGCACCATTAACACTGTCAAAGAGTGTATCAAAAAATTTTAACACTGAAGCAGTCTGTCCACATTCTGGGTCTTGAGCGATTCCTAAAAAATATACATGATTAAAATTGACATATTTTTAAAATGTAAACCAAAGTAGCAAATAAATTGTTAAGTACATATATTATAAATTTTATGTTATGTTAAGTAAAAGAATTAATATGTACCTTTCCTGCACATCAGTGCCATTACTGAGGTCATCGAATGGCTAAGGACTTGGGCTGCAACAGAAACTTTCATTTTTTTCATTTTATTCGGATATACATGGCTTTCCGTAATTTTAGGAAGAGTTGTAAGCTCTCTGGGACCATTGTCGTCTTCATATGTTTGTACAATATGTTTCCATTTTGCACAAATTGTCTTACCGTCCTTCTTCCACATTAAATCTTTAGTCAAAAGATTATTCCTTATTCCTTTTAACAAATGTGGAGGATCGTAGATATGTACTACAGGTTATCCATTAACAGAATAGACTTTTGTGGTGTCACTACTCTCGATTGAAGGATAATTTTTGCAGAGATAGCTTACTGCAGCTACATTAGTGCAACCTTGATCACTAACAGTAGCTGCAATTTTTAGACCAGCTTTTTGACACTCTTTTATAATATTGACAATAATTCTTACTAGATCCATAGTCTTCGTTGTGCCTTGGCAAAACGTATACACAAGTGGTTTTTTCCATTTCTTTGTAATGCCTTTAACTAAAAATACTGCAGCATGATCTGCAATTTTTGATGTTTTGTTATCACCACTGTCTTCGAAACCCTCAAACTCCATCAAATTTTTGTTTGTTATAATTTGGGGCTCGATACTCATTTCATCAAAAATTAAAATGGAATGCCTATCTCTTGGGGATAAATTTTGAATGCTGATTTTTAGATTATCAAAAACTGGTTCGTTAATACCAGCTTTCATTGGTATTCTATTTAATAACGTCATGTTTGTCTTTCTTAACGGAAGAGAGAATATTTTAGACAACAAATTGTAGCACTTCGGGCTTTGTTTATGTAAAATAATGCCTAATATTTTGTCATCTAAATGAAAACGCCTCCCTTTAGCTTTTTTGTTTTTCAGCCTAATTTGAGTTTTTATAAAATTTCCTACTGTAGGATCAAGGCTAGAAGTTGCATTTTCTATAAGTTCATCCTGTGATAATAGGGTTTTCAATTGTCTTGTCCGTAACTTTAATCGATGTACTGACTTGGTTAGTGTTCGAGTCCTTTTATAGATTCGTTGAGCTTTTGGCGTTAGTTCGGTAACTTTGCTCACACCTAACTCTTGTAGGAACTGTATACCTGGAAAAAAATAAATTATAAATAGTAGAATGTTTCTTATTATGTATCTATTAAAATAAAGTTGATAACTACATACGTAATTAATAAGTTTTAATTTGTTTACACTATTGATNTGTAGGAACTGTGTACCTGGAAAAAAATAAATTATAAATAGTAGAATGTTTCTTATTATGTATCTATTAAAATAAAGTTGATAACTACATAGGTAATTAATAAGTTTTAAATTTGTTTACACTATTGATATTACAAATATGTAAAAAATATGCTTACCTACTTGAGGATGGCTGCTTTGTGGAAATTCAAATGCAGGTTTACTTGTGGTTGGAGTGGTAGGATATGTTACTTCTTCACTAGTCTCCTTACTAGTCGATGGTAGAATTTCTGAAAGAAAAAGAACAATCAGATTGCAAAAAAGAAATAAATATAATTCTGCTTTTGTTTTTTGTTGTTAAAAATGAAATAGAAATTTTTACAATACTACATAGGTATACATAATACTATAATCTGGGACAATACCCTTGTTTATGAGCTTGCAATAAAAAAAGGATAATAACTACTGTATTCAAGGGAAACAATTTTTACCTGGGTTTTCTGGAATATACCCTCTCTCAGGTAGAAATAATGTTGGTACAGCACCTGGCTCTAAGTACATATTTGTACCTAAATATTCTTTAGCAAAATGCCTGTAGCAAATCCTAAAATTGTTATATACTCTTAAGGGATCCATAGCCTTTATTTCATTTCTACCAATTGCTTCCAACCACTCATTAAATTGTAACAAAAACTTGGCAGGATTTGGTAAACGATGTCTTGTAGAACTTTTATCCTCACAGTTAGGAACAACACACTTGAATGGCATCTAAAAATATAAGTACCTAATGAGTTAATCGTTTAATAGTTGAAGAGTTGCATGGAACTCATGGAAGTATACAAAGAAAAATACAATTATTTATTTATGCAAATCAATACTCATTATTCAGTACACATTACTGAAGAAAATTGTCTATAAAAAGAAAATAAAATAATAATGAAGATTTATGTTAATAATTATTTTACCTTATTGCTATTATTCAATCTTCACACACACTTTAAAAAGTCAAAAAATAATCACAATCACAAAATATAGCAAGGCTCTTCAGGCTAGGACACAAACACCATAGCACACTCACAAATACAACACGAAAATGAATAAAATTACAAGAGCAACAGGATACAAATTAATCAAATTATCCACGTTCTAGTTTTGTTTACATATTTTAATGCTGAATTTCCTATTGGCTGTATTAATACTGAATTTCTATTGGTTGTGTTATTTTAGTAGCTATGTCAGCTACGCCACGCGAGATGTAGTGGAACTAACAGCCAGGTCCCTTCCACTCCCATAAGAGTTCTCAGGCCGTGCTTCTGATCTATTCATCTGCACTGCCCTCTCATTTTTTTTCTTCATCGACCTTTTAATTCCTGATACCATTCTCGTGCGAGCGGTCGAACTGAGCGGACGTGTTTATTGTGAAGTGAAGTGCATTGCAACGAGCAAGATCTACCTGCCTTTATTAAGGCTACCTGGAAAGTATCCTTTTCTTTCCTCTTAACCACCGACCTAATCCCCGGCTCAAGCATAGAGGCCGTCGGCATCTTTGTTACAGGTATCTGTGCCGGGGTTATGCCCAGGTAAGTTTTTACTTTATTTATCATTTATTTGCATTATTTTTGAATACATTTCTTTAAAATTGCGACCCCCGACAAACAATATACCAGACAGACTAATACACCAAAAGACACGTACGCCCCCGTAAGGGGGCATCCCCACACGACTAAAACCTACACACCCTCACACACACGCACACNAAAATTATCTATAAAAAAATTAAAATAATAATAATGAAGAGTTACGTTAATAATTATTTTTATTTTACCTTATTGCTATTATTCAATCTTCACACACACTTCAAAAAGTCAAAAAATAATCACAATCACAAAATTTTGCAAGGCACAAACACGATAGCACACACAAATACAAAACGAAAATGAATAAAATTAAAATTACAAGAACAGGATACTATACAAATGAATCAAATGTTGCTGAATTCCTATTGGCTGTATTAATGCTGAATTTCTATTGGCTGTGCCATCTTAGTAGCTATGTCAGCGATGCCACGCGAGATGTAGTGGAACTAACAGCCAGGTCCCTTCCACTCCCATAAGAGTTCTCAGGCAGTGGCATATACTACTGGAGGGACTGGAGGCAACGTGTCAGTGCAGTGGCCGAGAGTGTAGCGGG